CCTATATAGGGTTTCCTAGGAGTGGCTGGTGGATTTGAAACACCAACCTTGTGGTTTAAGGGAAAGAGGTAGGGGAAATTACCAAGATGACTGTTTTCAAAGAAATTATTCTGAAATACGAAGAATAATTAAGTCTCTTTATGGGAGTCCACCTTTATTTTAAGGAACTCTGGTAGCTTAGGGTATTACCGGCTGGGCTACTAACCTCAAGGGCAGTAATTCAGATTTACTAGTCACTCCTAGGGAGAATGTTGAGACTTTCTGTGCCCATAAAGATTTGAAGCCTCAGAAACTCTATAGAGGATAGCTATGAGTCAGAATTGACTCAATGGCACACAACCACCACCATTATCACGCTTATTTTAACCAGCTAATTTTTGTATAGAGTTCTGATGCAGTGCCGTAGAATAAGTACTGGACCACAAGGCTGGTTTGAACTGCAAGGTTGACAGTTCAAACTCACCAGCTGCTCCTCAGAAACGCTATACAGGGTCACTATGAGTTAGAACCAATTTGAGGGCACTTAACAATAACAATAATTTTTGTCTATTTAAAAATATACTCACACAAGTCCCTGGTCTAGAACAGGAACTGATATACCATGGTCCACGGGTGAAATTTGACCTGCCATTTGTTTTTGTCAATAAAATTGCACCAGATCACAGACACACCCATTTGTTTATGCATTGCATTGGATCTATGGTTACTTTAATCTACAACTGCAGGCATTTTCACCAACAACTAATGACCATCTGGCCTAGTATGGTAAAAGTGTATTAGGTTCTGTTGTTTATTGTTCTGCAGGTCTATGCACTATCAAAACCTGGTGACCACAGGCCTCAGCAGTCCTGGATGATATTGGTGAATTTCATGGTAGTGTTCGTCTCATAGACAAGAGCATTCTTAAAAATGGACCCTGGAGGACACTCTTGCATTGCTGGTGGGATTGCAAAATGGTCCAACCTCTTTGGAAAACAATATGGCGTTTCCTCAGAAGGTTGAAAATAGAAATACCTTATGATCCAGCAATCC